AACACCATGTACGATTTTTCTTTTGCCACTCTCTCTTTCGCAGCATTTTTTTTCCAATAGCTTATACCATTTAGATTCTTTAGTTATATAATTAACGTTGAGTTTTCTAGCTTCATGCATTGCTTGGCCTCTTTTAAGGCAGGGTCGTAAGAAGCTCTTTTCGATTGGGGGAGGGGGCGGAAAGCGAGGCCAAAGTCCAGAGGAAATTTTTAAATTTAGAGTCTGTGAAATGCCATTTCCTGGACTTTGGCGGAAGATTTGACAGAATTCTGATGGTCAGAAAACAGCGATTTAGTATGTTGAAAGTTACAATTTAGTAGTACTAAATGGGCGAAGGCGTATTTAATTAACTATATATCGTATAAGTTGCAGGAAAGTATGGGTAATATCTTCATTCTTTTCATGATTTTGAAAAAAGAATTATTATGATAAAGGTTTTCATGATTTTGAAAAAAGAATTATTATTAGCAAATTATTGGGGGGTGGGGGAGCAGCAGCCACCTCCCCCCCAGTCCCCCCGGTTGCTACGGCCCTGTAAGGATGTGTAACTGGAGATGACATATTTAGCGGGGGACCTGGAGAAGTTCCAGTCGGCAAGTCTGTGTCGCTGCAGCTACTTTCAGCATAGATATGCATGGTTTAACTAACAAATAAGTATGCACCATAGGGCATCAGATCAGGCCATACCTACGATTCTGAGACAACCGAGTCGACCACCAAAGATGGGAGCCTCTAGAGGGGTCTGGGGGCATGCCACACCCAAACAAATTTGGATTTCAAGGTTGAAGCTCAGATAATCTATTTCCAGCACTTTGAGGAGTTTTCCAACAAGAAATTAACCTTACATTAGTCCCTGAAAATCAAACCAGCTGATCTTCTGGGACTGGTCAAATCGATCCCTGCAACCATGCTGTTTTGCAACATTTTTTTCCCACCAAATAATGGGGCAGGATATTTTTTCCCTCAGTTTGTTAGTGCAGGTATTTTTTTTTGTTCAGAATGGCCTTGTAGGAATTTTTTTTCAAAATAAAAAAAAGTTAAATGGTTGGCCCCTTAGACAAATTTCGGCATGGATTGGAACATTTTTATTCGTTGCATGACACTAGCTAAAGACTAAAATGTATTGTAAAGCAACATGACAGTTGTCAGTTATTTAGGAAGGCTTCGTTTTTCACTTTTTTTCATAGGTCGAAACTGATTGGTAACGTTTCTGAGAGGAATTCATATTCAAATATGAGCTAAATTGTTTAAAAATAGTTTTCAATTTCAATTCATGTGAAAAACGCACGACGTTCGAAGTGCAATTCTGGTAAAAAAAGGCAACCTGCTGCCCCCGTGCTGCCCCCGCACTGTTTAGGCAACGGGGGCAGCTGCCCACGCTGCCCTCGTGGCTCCGGCGCCCCTGGATGCACCTCTCTCATACACCAAACACATTAGGAAATTTACTAAAATCCCAATTCGGTAGCGACTGGTGCTCGGTCTCAAGCAATCATGCATTGCGAGATGCACTTCTCTCATACGCCAAACACATTAGCAACTTTGTTTAAAATCCAAATTCAGTAGCTACGCGTGCTCGGTCTCAAGCAATCAGGAATTGCGAGATGCCCTTCTCTCATACGCCAAACACATTGGCAACTTTGTTTAAAATCCAAATTCAGTAGCTACTCGTGCTCGGTCTCAAGCAATCCAGCACTGCGGGATGCGCGTCTCTCATACGCCAAACCCATTAGTAACTTTGTTTAAAATCCAAATTCAGTAGCTATCCGTGCTCGGTCTCAAGCAATCTAGCATTGTGAGATGCACTTCTCCTCATACGCCAAACCCCTTGGCAACTTTGTTGAAAATCCAAATTCAGTAGCTACTCGTGCTCGGTCTCAAGCAATCTGGCATTGCGAGATGCACGTCTCTCATACGCCAAAAAAATTGGCAACTTTGTTTAAAATCCAAATTCAGTAGCTACGCGTGCTCGGTCTCAAGTAATCTGGCATTGCGAGATGGTAGGTAGGTAGGTAGGTAAAACTTTATAGTTAAAAGGTAAAACTTAAATAGTTAAAAAATACAATTAATACAAATTATGGTCATACATTACATTACAGTTAACAACAATTACAATATATTTACAAATACAACGAGTATATAATTATTTACATAATATTATTAAATTAATGTTAGTACTGTGCAATATTTTTGATTAACGTAATTAATTAATTAATTAATTAATTGGCCAGGTGTCGTATACATGAATTAAACGAAGCAAGAGTGTGTTTGTTTCTTGCTTCATCAGAAAGGCTGTTCCACAATTTCGCTCCTCTATAACTAAGACTTTTTTTAAGATATTCAGTCTTAGGTTTGGGCAAAAAGAGTTTGGTGGAAGAGCCTCGCATATTATAGTAATAAGAGGAAGACGTCCTTTGAAAAATATTGGTTAGTCGTTTTGGCGCCAGTTCGCGAGTTATTTTATACATAAGACTCGCTACGAAATGTGTTCTGCGTTCACTTAAAGGTTTCCATTTCAGTTCGTCTAGAGCAAGTTCAGATTGACCGTATTGGTTTTTATGGCCAGTAATAACTCTAGCTGCCCTATTTTGTAGTTTCTCGAGTCGATCAGAAAGAGTGGCACCAATGGTGTCCCAAACTTCGCAACAATAATCTAGGTGTGGAAGTATAAGTGCATTATGAGCACAAATTAATGTATTATGATCCACACAAGATTTTAGCTTTCTGATCGCCCCAATTCCGGATGAAATCTTCTTAGCAATTTCATCAATATGCTTATCCCACAATGGAAACTCGTCAATATGAACTCCAAGTGCTTTTGTTTCTTTGACCTTTTTAATTGGTGTATCACCAACAAATACATTTGGAGCAGCAAGTAAATTATTTATGTTGTACCGAGATCCTATTAGTAGATACTCAGTTTTGACTAGATTAAGAGATAATCTATTTTCAGAGAGCCATTGTTTAACGTTGGTAAGGTCATGATTTATGGCCACCTCTACAGCTTGAATTAACTTGCCAGATACAGTTAGAGTCGTATCGTCGGCAAGCATTCATGTCGACGAGTACTCCAAACTGTTAGGCAGATCATTAATGTATATCAAGAATAAGAGTGGGCCAAGAATTGAACCTTGAGGGATTCCACATGTAACCAACTTCGTGCCCGACAGAACGCCATTAACGGAGCACATTTGGCTTCTATTCGCTAAATAGGATCCGAAAAGGTTTAATGATGGCTTCTGTAGGCCATAAAGATCAAGTTTCGTTAACAGGATGTCATGATTTATGGTGTCGATCGCCTTTTGTAAGTCCAGAAAAACAGCTATATTAAACAAACCACTAGCCCGCGTGCAGGCTCAAGGGAACTTGATAGTGGGCCTGCAAGCAAGGCCCGGTATTTTGTACTTTCCGCGTTCGCCCACGAACGCGGCATTCTGATTGGCTGTTTGCTGTTGGATTCTATAATTAGGTCAGTGATTCATCACAAAGGCTCTCGATAAATCTCGATAAGTTTAAAATTTGAAAATTGATCACTTTTTTCGATTACAAATGGAACAAGAACAGACTGTTTATTGTTTACTTGAAGGAAGAGATGTTTTGCCGTTATGCCAATGGGGATTGCTTGTCGTGAGGTGTTGGAATAGCAACATTACGACTGGGGTAAACTATAGTAACCTTTACACTTGAGTTTCATTAATTTCAAACAGAGTTGATACGTTATATGTTCCTCAAGAAAATGATCTTTTGGTTGATGTTGAGATGCAGTTGCATGTAAGCCTATTCGAAACACTTTGCGATTTACAACGGCTTCGCTGAGAGAGCGAAACAGAAGACGGTATTAAATTGCCGTTTGAAACGAAACGATCTGGACTCTGAACGCTCTCTTCTTTTGTAGAGTTCTTTACCAAATGAAATAACTGAAATAAATTTCGTACTTTCCGCTGCCAACAAGAATTGCACACACGATCTGATAAGTGAGACAATTTATTTATAACAATGGCGACAGCGAAGCACACATTAATGCTAATGTGGTCGCACGACTTCCCTCACGATTTGAAGTTTGAGACTGATTTTCTGTTGATATTCGTCCTAATTTGCCTGTTCCAATCTTAGATGAAAATGAGCACTTGCAAATTTGGCAATTACTGACTGCGTTGCTTGCTTTTTTGGAGTTAAAACGCAGCCATTTACACATTGTTTCTGTTCTGAATAAGCAGAGAAAACCCCGCAACATTTTAATGCGAGTTTGTTGTTAATATTTGGGTTGCTGTCCATTGGTTCTTTTTTGACAATTGACGCGCGAATGGGGCGTGTTATGAAAAGGGGCGTTTTACAAAATACCGGGTCTTGCTTGCAGGCCCACTATTCTTCCCTTGGGCCTGCACGCGGGCTACCACTAGACGTTAAATCATATACAATATCTAAGGAACTAGTTTGAGTACTGAAATATCAGCAAGCTCGTAGCAACTTGTCACGAACAACCTGTATTATTAGTCTCATTGCATGGAATATGGCTCAAGGGCCAAGAAATTACGTCTGGCAAACTCTTAGGACTTATACACTTTATAGCCACCTTGTGTGGGTTAATCAAATTGATAAGATATATAGCAAGATTAACTCAAGATTGTTTCTGTGCAAACGAATCCGTGAAGCTCTTCCTTTTGTCTCCAGAATCAAATTTTATTTCGGCCTAATTTACCCTCATTTTATATATGGTATAACTATCTGGGGTAATGCTTCAAACGAGCTGCTCCATCCGTTATTAAAGTTGCAAAAACGGGCAGCGCGTCTAATATTAAATGAAAGTGTGTCCACGCCATCTGCATTGTTATTTTTTGTAAATTGAAATGGATTCCAACTCATAATCTTATAAAACCGTAAGATCTTACTTGTTGGTGAAAGTTTGCGTGTTGCGAACACTGGCGCTCATGAGTATTATGGGTGTGGATATACGGTGTATTTGGCTGGACCATGTTTTTTGACATTACCTTTTTCTGTTTTAGGTGTTAAAGAACAAGTTCAGTTTATGCGCTGTTATTGCAACTCTTGCTGCATCATTTTCCAAGAGAAGTGCATTTTATGCCATATCTGGTCTCGTGGACAAAGTCGGTGATATCAAGGTAAGGTTATAATATTGCTGAAAAGTTATGCCACGATTTTAAAATTGGCTTACTGTCGTTGCAATGGATGCATGGAAGTGTTGATAAAATATCGCATCAATTCATTACTCAGAGCTGATCAATTCATTCGTTGAAAAATTGATCAACTTCCTGTGTGTTTGAATCAACCAATGCATGGCTTTGCGTTTCAGTGACTGATTGACCAATTGGGAACAAGCATGCCAGTAAACAGGAAGTTGAGCAATTTTTGACCAAATGAATTGATCAATGTTAGGTAATGAATTGTTGCAATATTTTATCAACACTTCTATATTGCAACGACAGTAATGTTGTGCCAGGTCCGATAGAGCTTGTATATAATAATAATATTAATTACGACTTTTTTCAAGAGGGTAACAGTTTACACTGATGAACTCTGCAACCTACATGTATACACTGTATAATATCCTGCATTTCATGTACATGCAGTCTATATGTTATTAAAAGAGGCAATTTTTCTCTATGCCGCGTATATATTTGCGATGAAAAGCAATAAAAACCTAAAAGCGTTTTGGCTTAGTTTTTAAAATTTATTTTTTTTAGCTTTTATTTTTCTAGTTTATAAAGTCAGCTACGTTTTTAATGCATTTCTCGTTGAGTAACATAAAATAATAGCAAAAAATTGTCAATTGCATGTAAAGCATTGTTATGAATGATGCTTTAAAATTGCATGATGCCACATTTACAACAATATAAATAAAACCTACTGAATTTGGCGTAGCAATGAAATAAACCATAACCAAGTCATAACCAAGTAGTGCAGTCACAACCAAGTGCTACATTATAAACTCTTTAGTTTTGAGCGCGTGTTACGTAACAGACAAAAAGTGAACATTATATACATTTGCATGTCGTATACGACGTCATATTTTTGTTTCAATAATCTCAATGACTCCATGTTCTTCCCATGCACTCGAATGAATTTTACCAACACCCACAGCAGGGATAGATTCAACCATGGTTCAGGGTTTGACCGTTGACCAAGGGAGCTATACGGCAGCATGGTATATACTAGTCTGTAGTGTTGCTGACAATTAAACAGTAGTGCTACCATCTCAATTTGTTTTTGTAATTGCCTTTCCAAACCCAAAAAGGGTTTGATAAGGAAATTGGTACCCCCATGCAGCTTGCACCCCCTTTTTCTAAGGTTAAGAGGGGTGAGCACTCCCCTGCCCCTCCCAGTGAATCCATCCCTGAACCGCTACCTTGTTATATAGAGCCTATTCTATTTCCTCGATCTCTTTAACTATGTGTTAATATTAAATTGTAGTTGAAAGAACAGTGTAAAGAAACTCTGATGGTCTTTGCTGAAAACCTTACATTGAACTATGTTAGTTTGAAGGTGGGTATTCCATTTTTATTCTTGCACAATTGTAAAAAATATCGTATAAATTGTTACGCTGGAATTTTATTTCAAAATCCTTACTATGGAAATAGTATATGGATCTTAGACTTAGTTGAATTGCAATTTCCATATAAACTGTGGATGTAGTATGGAAATAGTATGGATATACTATGGATTTAGTTATGCAATCGCAGAACAAAATCCATCACCACAGCTAGAAAGAGCATGTGAAAACGAGCAATGCACCACATTTGGGCCGAATGTGGTGCATTTTCCCGTGCAAAATACAAATTAATACAAAATTTTCAAATTTCGTAGGGCTATATTTTCCTCATTTTACAACATTTCGCAACCAAACATTGCAATATTACTAATTTTAACATGCTCTTTCTAGCGTAATGGATTTTTGAAGTTTATTTTCTTTGATAAGTCTTCATATTTAGTACTGTAGGGAATAAATCACCGATCTAAAGCCTATCACTGGATTACCCTTGCATGGTTAGCTGTTCTTAATGCTTTCTAAACACCATCATGTATTTAAGTTAAAACACAGTTGGAACACTCGTGAAACTTATATTTTGTTAATCTAGAGCTTCGACTGTCCCCAGTAATAATGCGGAACTATATATCAACTCTCAATCCCTGGGCATTTTTGCAGGGATTTTGGAATCGCAAATATCCTCACGTACGCTGTTGTCAGAGTAATACACGCCTAAAAAAACCGGTTTCACTTAATTGTAAGCAATTCTGCACGTGTGACGCAACGTAAGGTAATTTGCATATTAAAGAATTTAAAATAAGTCGAAAACGAGGTTAAGAAATAAAAATCTGAGTAAATTAAAATATTTTGCGTAAGGTGCGCTGTAATACATACGCTTTATATTTTATACTAAAAGGCATATATTTAATAGTTTGGGAGTATTATCATTCTGTTTTTATTCCTCTTAATGAATAACTTGCTATTTTCTCGTTCAGAAAACTCCGGTAATTTTCGAGCCGCCATCTTGTTTTTTTTTCTATTGGCAGGATATGAGCTAATATCCTACTAGTAGAGGGCCAATGAAATTGCAGAATAAATTATACCCGGTATTTGTCTATATAATAAACATAAGTTATATATCCTATATGATCGAACAATGAGAACTTATAAATTTGGATTTTTCCTTAGGTGTCCGGATGTGCCGGCGAGCAAAAGAATCCTAAAGTTTTGGCAGAAAGTCTTAACTGGTTGGGGGATGCAATTAAAGCATTTGGTATGAAGTAAGTATGCTGCGGTGTAAATTAAATCGCGCTACATGTACAAGTTAGTTGAAACAGAAAATATCCTGTGGTTTCAGTTTTCCAATCGACCCTCTTTTTTCTGCCTACCCTAATGTTTTTGGATGTGGTTGGGTTGTTCTCTCGCTTACCGACGTAAATCGTGCAATATTTCACCGTTGCCTGTTAGCCAATCAGAAACCATAAATTTTTAAAATAAATATAATAACTATTGAATTTGGTTTTCACGTACTACACTGTGTTAAAGGCAGAGTTCAGCCTTTTGAATGATGGTTTTTAGGGTGCATTTCAGGCCTTTTAATTGAAAAAACTAACTAGGAAAATCAATTATGCATTATTCAAGATCAGTAAACTCAATGTTTTTAACAATAAAGATGCTTTAAAAAATGATGATGCTTTATTTTCCAAGTTAGTTTTTTTTTTCAATAAAAGGGCTGAAATACGCCTTAAAAACCATCATTCAAAAGGCTGAACTGTGCCTTTAATAATAGCATGCGTCATAGCGCGCAATAATCGTTTTCCATATAATAATAATAATAATAATTTAATAAAATACCGATTTGTAACCTATTAGGTTAAATTACATCAGTAAAAAGTTTCATTATACTACAATAGAATATCTAGATGCATAAAATTATTCATAACTTCAGTTGAAAAAGTTATAGAGTTCAAATTTAAAAATATTAAAAATATTAAAATTATGGTCTATTCATATGTGAAACCATCTGTGGAAAAAACGATTTCATAAATCTGTCCGTTTTACAACTATAGTTATTATAATCGCTTCCATAACGTGTATTATAGTTATGTTCAAGTTTAAGCGGTAAGAGGTCACCCAATTTGTCTCCATGTGCATTTTTAACAAAAAAACGTTCGCATAATAATCGCCGCCGATCTTTCAGTAAGGGTATACCAGTAATACTGCAAGCTTCTCTATAAGTAGCGAATGGCAAGACAATACGCAGAGCCCGCTTCTGGAGTTTTTCGATATCTTCACTTAGGTATTCTGTAATATTGAAGTGCCAAACTTGGCAGGCATATTCGAGTACTGGTCTGATAATGGTGCAGTATACCAAAATTAGAATGCTATTGTCGGCATTTGATCGTTTTAACAACCTTAGCATATAAAGGCGTTTTCCCGCTTTTTTTAACAATATGGTTCACATGCTCGTTCCATTTCAAATCATCTTGAATTGAAAGACCAAGAATTCGGGCAGATTTTACCCGCTCAATACCAACGTTATTTATAGTTAACGGTAAGAACTCATGTTTTTCTCTTGCAATGTCAATTACCATTTCCTTACATTTGCCGATGTTGAGCTTCATATTATTAACTTCACACCAATTATAGATAACATTCACTAGATCTTGTAGTTCACTACTCTCAGTTGATGTAACTCGTTCAGCAAACGTACTGTCATCAACATACTTCCATCTATCGCTCCAATCAATAAGAAGATCATTTATCATAACAAGGAACAAAGCCGGCCCCAACACCGACCCTTGCGGCACTCCACCGTTTAACGTTTGCCAGTCCGAATGACAGTTAGCCAACTTGACTCGTTGTTTACGATCAGAGAGAAAACTTCTAATCCAATTTATAATGGTTTGGGAAACACTCATTTGTTGTAGCTTATTCACCAGTATGTTGTGATCTATTCGATCAAAAGCTTTTTCAAAATCAAGCAAGAATACTCTCACCGCATTGCTTGAAGCATCTGTAGCACTCAGGAGGTGATGGATCAGGCTCAGTAGGGCATGGGTAGCCGAGGAATTTTTAACGGAGCCAAACTGCCGCGTATCAATCTTTGCACCAATTGACTTAAGTAACCAGTCTGGAACAAACCGTTCGCAAATTTTGGATAAAGTGGGGGTAAGTGAGATAGGGCGCAAATCTTTAGAAATGTCTTTAGGGACTGATTTTTTTGGAACAGGGATAACGTTCGCTTTTTTCCACATTGAGGGTACAACTGCTTCTTGGATCGAAGCGTTGAAAATCGATACCACAGGGGAAGAAAGAACGTATGCATAAGATTTAAGCACCCAATTAGGTATTCCGTCAGGACCAGGTGATTTGGAAACGGGGATGGCGGACAATTTACAGTATACATCTTTTTCTTCGATAATAAACTGTGGAAGGATACTTTTACTGCCATTTTCAATTAGGTCATCAACTGGAGACTTATTCAAGGGAGGAATATCTTGGGTAGATGAGACAAAAACATCATTGATTTTATCTGTTAACTCTTTACCAGCAAAAACCTGGTTGTTTACAACGAAATTAGAGAATGTTTTGTTCTTGGCGAAACCCGCAAGCTGTTTTATACATTGCCACCATTTTTTAGCATTGGGGTTTAGTTTTAACTCATCCATCTTTTTCTTAAGGAAGGTTGACTTGAGTCTCTTACTTTCTCTATTGGCAAAATTTCTCAATCTACGATATAGCGGACTTTTGCCCTGACGAAACGCTCTTTGTCTATTTTCTATAATTTTCTTAAATCCGACTGTAACCCATGGTTTATCATGATCGTGCAACTTTACAATTTTACTAGGGAAAAAACAGTCCAAACCAGTATTTATAACTGTTTGAAAAAAATCTAACTTTTGTTCACATGATTCAGCGCGGTACAATTTGTTCCAGTTTATATCAGCTAGCCACTTACCGAATGCTCTCC